AACTCCCTAGCTTTCTCCATGATCCAGCGTATGTTGGCAATTTGATCTCTAGTTCCTCTGCCTCTTCGAAATCCTGCCTGTACTTCTGGAAGTTCTTGATCCACATACTGCTGGAGTCTAGCTTGTAGGATTTTAAGCATAACTTTACTTGCATGTGAAATGAGTGCAGTGGTGTGATAGTTTGAACATTCTTTGGCATTGTCTTTCTTTGGCATTGGAATGTAAACTGACCTTTCCCAATCCTGGGGCCACTGTTGAGTTTTCTAACAAGTTTAAATATTAGAGATCCAGAATTTGCAAATACCATCTTTTTTTCATTAAAAGATATCATGACTAAAAATTACAAGCTGACAATACCCTGAAATGGCTTCATGCAGAATACAATAACTGGTATGTGCCTACCAGTAGGGTTGTTAGGAATTCTGAAACATATTTACATTTTATCACTGACATAGTCATTTTAGTAATGTAATTATTACTGTTGTAATGATCTGCAGTATAATTTTGTATGCTGCTATTTATTTTTTAAATCCTAAGATAAACATGTTGATTCAGATTCAAAGACTATGCTCATTTTTCTCCCTTGTGGTTATTTTTGAGAATAAATTTGGTACTTTGGCTTGAATGTTTTATGGGTATAGATATTGACTGCCTATTAGACTAGTTTAAACATACATTAAGTAGCCCATGAGCAATGGCAAGATTAGGGATAATATCCGGTATTCAGTTGAGGTAAACAGACAATGCCCATTTGTAATGTTTTGTTTTTCAATTTTTTTCAATCTTGTCTGGGATACTATATTTTTTAATGCTAAAGAGACTAAGTGAAGGTCTTCCATTTGTAGATAGGCCTCAGGAGTGAGTGCTGAAGAACAAAATCAAATATATCTGCAAAAATGATGGAACTGGAACTAACTTTTCAATGTACTTATTTCCACTGACTCCATCCCTCAGTTTACTGTGCTCTACCCAACTTGCCAAACAGCTGTTTAATGGAATAAGATGAAGTCATTGTGCTGTTGGAATGCAGGAAGTTCTACCTTATCCAACCAGCAATGAGAACTCTGACATGTAGGCTCTCATTTGTTGTCGCCAGAATAATGCTTACTTTTCAAAGGCTTTCTGCCCTGCTGACATGGGGGCAATCTGCCTTTCTTCATTTTATTAGGAATAATTATTGTGTAACTTTTATATGTGTGCATATGCTAGTCATCATTCATTAATGCTTCATGTGACCCTTGGGAATGAAAAATCACCTAGCCATGTTGTAGCATAACAACTTGTGGAATTGCCACAAGCAATTTCCTAACATAATGAAGTAACACTAAGCTATAAACATGCTATGGAATCAAAGCATTAACTTTAATATCTGCATTAGAGTGAAAATGGCATTTTCTCAGACTCAGATAAATTAAGATATCAAGAAACTGTTCTATAATGCTGAAGAAAAAAACTGAAAAACCTGTATCTTTATCTGTAACCTGTGATACTGTGATCTACAGTGGAATTATAATTTGATTTAGCAATAGATAAAGAGATTTCAGTTCAACAAACAATATACAAAATAAGTACTATGTCATCCCTTCATTAAAACTGGTCTTTGTTGCAAAAGGTGAAGCCCTGGAGCAAGCAGCATCCTTAAGATGGCAAGTTGAGTTAGATATTCCAATATTTGAGGTGATAATTATATGTGATTTTGAGAGATCCTCAAGGAAAAAATAATAATTCCTTACACTAGACACAGCACGAGTTTGTGTCTATTTTATACAGTCGTCTTGAGGAACACAAAGAAACCCAGAGTAATGGCAAAGAGTTTATAGGCCACACTTGAATTGTCAGCTTCAGTGTTTGTGAGTACAAAGAAGAAAGCATTGAACAAGAGGAGTGTGCATGGGAAGATATCAAGGAGGAAAAGATACCGCAGCCTGTCTCAGGTTTGCCGAAGACTACCTCATGATCCAGCAGGAACAATTTTCTGTGGACAGATGACATGAGAATGAATTTTTCTGGCATCAATGAGAAATATTTTGTTTGGAGGAAAAAGATTGTATTGCACAGATTGTATTCCTATAAAAGAATCTCATACCAATAGTGAAATTTAGCAAAATAGGCTTTGCAACTCAAGGTCTAGATAGTTCTGTAATTATTGAGGGAAGAATGGATTCTGAATTGACAGCACAACTCTACAGGAGCAAATATGGATCATGTAGCACAACAATGACCCTAAACATGTAAGCGACTGAAACAAATATGGATCATGCAGGATAACAACGATCCTAAATATACAAGTGGCTGCTTATTACCATGCCTTAGCATTAGGATATGCCCTAATGCTAAGAAATATTGGTCTAAGATCCATAGATGGTTGGAAAAGATGATGAAAATACAGATAGAATTTAAACCGAAATTGTTTTTGTTAGGAATATTAAGACCTAATTATGGTAAAGAGAATGATTACTTGATATTACATGTTTTAACAGCTGCAAGGATAGTATTTGCCCAATTTTGGAAAAATGAAAGTCTACCATCTGACCAGGCCATAATTACTAAAATTTTAGATTGTGCAGAAATGGATAGATTAACATTGGAGATGAAAGAGAAAGATAATTCAGTTTATTTTAAAACTTGGGAAAAATTTTATCAATGGTTAGAGACGTGTTAATCTGAAAAGAACTTAATATAATAAAATAGATGATGGATGTTTAATTGAGTTATAGTTAATAGGTTGACAACATTTTCATTTTTAGTGATTTTTAACCGTTAATGCTGGCAATTATGATTAGTTGAGATTTTATTAATTATGTTTATTTACATAGATGAATTTTATCTGTTTATTAATCATTAGTAATATGGTTATAGTTAACCATATTTTAAAATGGCTGAGTATGATATAAATCATGTTTATTTACTATCATGATCCGAACGGTAGCTTGTTTGTTAAAGCATGAGATTATTGTACCTACCCTTTTCCCATCCCAATTCCCCATCCCCTTCCCTCCCCCCACCTGTATTGTTCCTATTTTTTCCTCATTTATATAAATCTAATAAAATATTTATATATATATATGAATAAAAGAATAAAATACGATCACCGAGAGGGTTAAAATAAGAATACTTTACTAAAAATATACTTATACTAAAAAGTTGCCAAGCTTTCGCTGGGGGAACTCCCTAGCATCGTCAGGGCTAAAATACATTAAAGGTGGTTTAAGTAGGTTCAAGTAACGTTTGCGCACGGCTCCTAGACCGTGTTACTGGCCCTGATTTTTACCAATATTCTTGAATATATATATATAGTGGCTGAAGCAGAAAATATTTTCATTTTAGAATAGCCAATTCCAAGTCCTTAACCCAAGTGGCATTTGTGAAGTGAGCAGTTCATGCAAAACAGCCCCAAAATACAAATGAATTAAAACAATTCTGTGCAGAGAATGGGCCAATATGTCAGTTTGTTGTATAGGATTGATCACTTATTAGGGGAAAAGTCCAGTTCATGTTGCTGTTGCTAAAGGATGTATCATCTGTTACTAAATTTCAAGCTTCTCATTTCCCCCCTCCCAACAAAGTTAATGGAAGTTGGCTGAATGAGTCCAATGAGCACATGACACAGTGCACTGTTGTTTAATCAGACTCTATTAATAGGATTTAGATGAAGCATAGATTACATTGTATGTCACAGTACTGCAGAATTATGGATTTGCATTCTCATCTCTGTAGCTTGGACACCTTCATTGTATTCATTATCAGAATTACAATCTTTTGCCACATTTATGGCAAAAGAACTCATAGAACACCATCCAGTAAAATAATTCTAAATAAGGTAATACCTAAATGAAACTAAATCTCTTTAAGCATGCTGCAAGTACAAGAGTGTAGTAAAGAGCAAATAAGTTATACTTTAGAGAATATAATAAATGTTTTTTCTGAGACATTTGTTCTGCGTTTGTTTTACTTTTTCATAGAAAACTATGAATGTTAGTCAAGCTGAATGGACATGTTTGCTTCCTTGTCAGCAGTTTAGAAGTAGCTTGCCATTGTCTTTCCTTCTCTTTCTTCCTAAATGTTTTTTCCATTCTCAACTGAGCAACTATTATTTGATTTGCAATATTTGATTGATTTAAAATTAAGATAGATTTTCAGTGTAACTTCTGCATGTCACATAAAAGGATTGTCAAATATTATTCCATTATAGGTAACTGCCTAAGACTTGAGAAGACTGTACAAGAATTGGCACTTATAAGTGTCTACATTTATTTGAACTTTACCATATCATTTAACATTTAACAATCATTTTTGCATACTACTATATAGTTAATTCTTCATGATAAAATCTGCATAACAAAAATCTAGCATTATGCTCTTCAGATCTTCTGTTTTAAGAATGTTGAGCTATGAATGTTTAGTTCGAAATCTCTGCTGTAGATATAAGCTTTAAATTTACTTCAGAAAGACATTTGTGTATAAATGTAATAGTTTAGTTGACTGTATCATTTACAATTTTGTCTCTAAGTCCTGGTAACTGTGGCCTAAATGTTTATTTAAAAGGGTAAGAGGCTCCATTATCGTTAAAAGTTGGGATTAGCAACAAGAATATTAACTGCTAAGCCAATTTTATTTTCAGTTTATTTTTTTGTGTTTTGATATACCAGTTATATTTCAGAGTCAATTTATTTAGAAAGTTACCTGTTTAAGGAAACAATTCATTATGTGTCGTGGAACTGATGAGTTCAGTAGAGCCACCTTTTAATCCTTGATTCCCTGTGGATTTTCTTTCACAAAGCTTTTTCCCTTTGAGTCCCTAAAACTACAGCCCTTTTGACTGAATAGAGCCTATTTTATACACCACCCTGCTCCCAATCCAATTAAAGGTTCAATAATAGACGGATTATGGAAAGTTTACTTCTTAGCAGAAGTGAAGCTTTGGAAATAGTATGTTGATAGCAAAAGGGAATGTGAGGGAAAGCGGAGAAAATTAAGGAGATAATGGTCAGTAATCTTACCTTGTCTGATGTTTGCGCTGTTCACACTATAGCAGACTCTTAGAATAAGAGGTACAATGATTCACATTCATTAACCATTTTGTTGCTGGAATTTAGCTGTCTCTTTAATTTTCTTCACTCTTGCTTTTGTTATCTGCATTTTGCACAAACACCATCTAATCTTCTAGTGCAGGTCTGGAGCTATGAAGCCTATGAAGCAGTTTGGCCCCCTCTCCAACTTCTCTTTTTGTGTGGCAAGAGGTGATGGTATTTTCCCTTTCACAGCTTAACCTGAAAAAGATAATTTAATAAATAACATATACTTCTATTTTGCAAAAATGTGTGTTTTGCTGGATTATTTCTCTATTTTAAAAATATTTAAAATTAATACATTAGGAGCATGCCAAACAACGCTAATGTTACTTAAACATCTGCTGTACAATTAAGTCTATATTAAATAAACAATAAACCAAAAATACTTTTTAAAAATTCTTATGTAACAAGTTATTGCAATAAGTTCTTCCTTTCCTTGAGAGAAATTGAATCAAGAAGATGCACACTGTTCTTTGATACCTACAAATTACATGATTGATTTATAAAACATTGCTCTAAGCATTCTGTTAAGCATCTTTGGTTAACAAGGTGTTAAAATCTTTTTCTTGCTCCAGGACATTGAGATATGTGTTAGAGAGTTGAGATAGGAATGTTTCTTTGTGTCTTCCAATCATTTTTGTTGCAGATAAATTAATCCTTTTCCATTTTGTAGAACAAACTGTAGTCATTATTTTCAGCTACATTGCTACCTTATTATTGTTAAAATCTCCATAGAGCCTTTTTCTTTGCCAAGCATAGTGGATTTTAGTGGGCTAAATGTTTAATGAGTCAATGTGTTAAAGGCTTCACTTTTCTTCCAATTAACCCCAAGACCACTCTGGCATTTTTGTAAATCCACAGAAGTATTTTGTGAGGCCTAAAGGGTAAGCTGCAGGCAGGCTGTGAAGAATGTAAAAAGACTAACCTGCTAACAAACACAAGTGCAGTAGGACAAAGGCAGTTTAATCCGTATTATGGTAAATGCAGGCTTAGTGTTCCAAAAGGTCTTTGCAAAGTGGAACAAAACAAAAAGGACAGCAACAATAAAAATCTAGTGCTTTTATTTTTATGCACAAAACGTTGCAAAAGAAAAACTTATAATAGCATTAAAAAACTTTTGAATAGTGGTTTTAAATATGATACTAAACATTGTAATTGTTTGCCAATTACATAAAGAAGGTAAAAGTAACAGTAGACACTGAGATAGATGAATATTCATGAGACTACTCCAAAGGGGTATTTTTGTATATTTATGTAACACACAGCAGCTATATAGATTTAAAAAAAAAATCTGTTTCTGTATATATAAATATTTAATGAAATAAAATTCAGAGTTGCTGGGAGGGATTTTGCAAATAGATGAAGAAATCATGCTTGTATTAATTTTCTCCAAATATTTCTGAATAAAATGTAGAAATAAAATTTCTTTCCATTAAGCCCTATAAGGTATGTGTTCTGGTGATTTAGTGGCTGGGCAGGATTCTATTCTCCTATCCAAACAAAAATATTCACACGATTCCTCTGTGTGTCATCATCATTTACTATACTTTGAACTTAGCCATTTTAAGGCCATGTGTAGTCATCTTTTTCTGCTGCTCAGCTATAAATTGCTTTTGCTATATTTGTTTAAAATAACCCCAAGATGATTATGGTTATACTTACATTGTAGTTGTAACTACTTTATGGATTCAGATAATTTGATTCTGATAACCATCTATTTAGTAATGTCTTTCTTTTGTATTCCTTTTTCAATTAGATTCTTGCCAACTTTGTAAGAAAAACGAAGTTTGAATTATTTTTCAAATTAAAGAAATTTTTTTTTTGACTGATGTCGGAAAGACAGCATACTTTTCCCACTAACATTCATTTTAAATGGTGTTTCTGTGAGCGCATTGCTCATAGTAATCATCATTACTCATTTCTTCTAAAAATTAAATCATTTGTGTTTGATGCTGTTTCATTTTAAAACTCTGAGAAATATGAATATTTACAATAAGTAGAAAATTGAATAAAGTTGAGGGTGACATTTTCACCTATCACAGGAAAAAGAATTGTATAAATTTTAATCATGAATAACAGTATGGTTTATTTCAATTTCTCTGGAATGTATCGGATAAGAAAGGATGAAGAGACATTTTAGATCCTTGAATGATTACTATCTGGATATATATTATTGGATGACTCTGAGACTTGAGATAAGCAAATGTTGGAAGTTAATTGTGAACTTTAAAAACAATATATATTTTGGAAATAACACTAGAGGTTCAAAACACCAGCTGCTCATAGATACAGCAATCATCCAAGATTAAGGTCTAAAAACCAATCTGAGCGCAACTTGGATTGACCGTAGGTAAGTCTATGACTCAAGACCAGACTGGATCTGTGAATACTTGGCATTGTACAAGGTTAACACTAAGAACTTTCCACAAGAACTCAGTGGAATTGTGGAAGATAGCACTGGAAGCCAATTCAACACAATTTGCACAAGTGGTCATCAAGTGTGACATATTACAAAGTGGTGCATTGTGTCTACTGTTGTTCTGTATCGGCTTCAACCAGCTCACATAAGCCAGATAGTTGCAAGGATTGGATATGGATAGAACTTCAAGAATAAAACTACTATCAGCCACTTCCTCTACACGGATGATATCAAGTTGTACTCTGGGCTGCTGCAGGCTTCAATCATGCACACATACACACAATTTCTTGGTGATTATCTGTTTACTACTAGAGTGAAGAATCTGTGGTGAAACAAGCACAGCAATGTAAACAAAGCTGAGGTTTACCTACAAGATTTGCTTTGAGAACAGGATAACACTGAAGAATCATCCAGAATCAAACAAAGATTTTAGAGCTGGGTCAATGTTGTTAGTCCAAAGATCACAGGTCCAAGATTCAGAGTCCACACACAAATGTCAAAGATGAGCTGGATGTCAGCCATTGTTTTCAGCAAATGAGCACCAGCATGGCAGATTCTTACACGATTGCAGCCAGCTGTCACCAATCAGAAGGTTTACTTATTTGCTTGGCAAGGAGCCTAACAGACCTTTTCTGTTCTGTTCTCCTCTCTACTTGTTTCTTCTATGGGCTGGGAGGTCTTAATCATCCTTCACTGATACTCCAGCCTATTGAATGTTTTCTCCTGAAGCTGATATACCAGAGGTTCAGCTGGAGCTTCTTCTTCAATGTCAGATTCAGAATCTGAGACCTAATCCTGGGCCATGACATGCTAAGAGTGAAGGAGACATAGATTCACTTATCCACCTGAAATGGATCTACAGTGAGGACAATGGTATGTTATTTAGACTGGAGAAATGTGGCCAGTTAATCATAAAGAAAGAGAAGATAAGTAAAACTGTTGGGGTAGAACTACCAACTACTGCATAGCAGACATACATACCAGCCACTTGGTATCTTATAAATACATGGGAACTATGATGAGAAGGCAAGGAAGACAGCAACCTCCAAATATTGTCAAAAGATAAACCAGGTTCCAAAGAGGAAGCTTAATGGGAAGAACAAGATCCATGCCATCAACACCTATGCCCTGCCAGGCATCAGATATTCTGCCAGTATAGTGAACTGGCTAAAGGAGGTCATGGAAGCTGATGACCTCAAAGCACCTCACAATGTACAGCAGTTTGCATCACAAGTCCAATACCCAGAGACAGTACACCAGCCTGTATAGGGGGCTGGCAGGATCTGCTGAGGATCAAAAGTACCATCCTGGATAAAACCAGAAAATCTAGGATCCAAGATGACGTCCAAAAATGAACTGTTGAGAGAATGCCTAAAACAGGAAACATAAGAGGAAGACCAAACAGAGGAAGTGCTATTACAAGATGATACCCTACATGGAATGTACCATCAACGGGTAGCTGACATTAAACTTCTACTGCTGGCTGGAAAGGGCTGGGCTAAAAAAAAAACTGAGGCACTGATCCTATCAGCACAAGAACAGATACTAAGTTTCAGATCCATAGAAGCAGGGGTCTACCACGCTTGGCAAGACTCAAAATGTAGACTATGAAAAGAGGCTTCAAAGACACTTCAACATGTAGTGTAAATTGTAAGATGCAGGCAGGAACAGCACCACCAAAATGGTTGGCATGATATACAGGAACTTCTGCATAGAATATGGCCTAGACCCTTCCAGGTTCAGATGGGAGGTTCCACAGAGAGTTGTAGAGGATAACAGGGCTAAGACCCTGTGGGATTTCCATATCCAGATGAACAGGCAGGCACTGGCCAATCAACCGGACATTGTGGTAGTAGACCAGAAGACAGTGAGAGTGACAAACATAGCAGTGCCAAATGATAGCATCATCAGGAAAAAGGAGTATTAGGATTTGGAAAAGTACCAGGCCTGAAGAGCATGTGAAAAGTACAGGTAAAAGTAGTCTCAGTGATGATAAAAGCAGTTGGAGCTGTGACTCCTAAGTTGGAAGAATGTCTGCCACAGATCCCAGGAACAACATTAGAACTCTCTCCCAGAAGAATGCATTACTAGGAACTTTCAATCTCTCCCTCTATTCTGCACTACCTTAAAGAGAAACAATAAGGCTCTTTTCAGTTCTGGTACATAAAGGATAATATAAACCAACCCTTAATTAGTAGGACGTGTCTTAATCATTCAAGAAATTCATGATGGTATTCCCTAGGCAGCCAGAGCTGCCTGGTAGCAACAAGATACAGGATTTCAATGTGTAAACAGTGATAACGGTGATATGTCATTTGTATTACAATTTGGCTGTTAATTGTGCTGAAAGCTACAGCTTAAGAGCAACTTTCTGTCCAACAATGTAAAATTAAAAATGATATAGAAAGATATGTTGTGGAAAATTATAAAAATTGTACCTGTTGAATTTCCGAGTATCCAATTTAATTTAAATGATGTATACTGATTTTTTTTTGCATTTGATGATAAGAAAATGCATGCCTTTTACAGAAGCTTCTAAAATACCCATGCATTTCCATTTACTAATAGGAATTTTGTGGCTACAGACCGTAGCTATGATTAAATCTGGGTTAGCTAATATACTTTAGAGAGTACCAAATTTGATTGTATAAAAATGTATTAATTCCTTTATATCAGAAATGAAAACAAAATCTCAACAAGAAGCAAAATTTACATTCTTATTTTGCTGGAATACCTTAGTGATTCTTTTAGTAAGAAATTCTATATATCATCCATTTGATTCAGCATGGATAGTGAGATTATAGAATAAATAATGTGTTCTAAACTTCTAAACAGCTCTGAAACCAATATTCCCTAGCCCCAAAACAGGTGCAGAACAGGTTTGGTATATTTAGTAAAAAAAATATGTATGTATACCAGGGGTCGGTTGTCATATTGACAGAGAAAGCAGGACAAATGGACTTTGTTCTTAATAGCAGTTACTTGAAATAATAATTACATGTAGATCAGGATGTGGTTAAAATAGTTTAAGGTGATTACCATAACAGTGCAATAAACAATATGATTGTTTTTTATGTGCATCATATCTTGACATTTTTTATCATACCCTGCAGACATCTTTAATTAGATGTAAAAATGATGTTGAAGTATGGAGAAAAAGGAGAGTGGAATGATGAAAAAGTTTCACAAGGATTCACCTATATTAAAATAGGTGACTTTATAAAATTGGGCTTAAATACATTGTAAATATATTTTCCACCCATATTACATCAGAATCACCTGTATTGAACTCAGCAGATATTACAAACCTGACACAACAGAAACCTTCCAAAATAAGCAGAAATATTCTTCAGAATATGTAATTATCTCCTTGTAATTCCCAAAGTTTTGCCAGAAGGTAGAGAGTGCTAAGAATCACTGGGTTAAATCAGGCTGACTTTGGACATAGGAATGGTCAACATTCAATGGCAGGTGGACCAAAGCAGTCATAGAATGGATCCCGCATGAAAGAGACCTAAAATAAGATGGATCAACGACATCAGCAAGTATTGCAGGCCCAATTGCCAAAAGAAAGCTCAGGACCATATAGGTTGGAAACATGCGGAAGAAGCCTTTGTCCTGCAGTGAATATACAATGGCTAAATTGATGATGATGAATTCCCAAAGGTACTACAAAAAGTTTTTCTTAATCACATTATTTCTTGTATTTGCTTTTTATATTTAATATGATTTATAAAATAAGAGAAAATATTTTCCATTTAAATTACAAGAAATAATAAAACTACATTACCTGATGGGTAAGGTGGTAGCACTTTAGTTTTCCAGTGTATACTACAAACCTGTTTAAAATATATTAGAATATCATGGGAGGAATTTTAAAGAAAATAGCTTGCTTTCTATTTTCCAAAAACTCACAAACGACTCCCTCTAACTTCTACTTTTATTCCTTCTTTAAAATACCTTTTAATATCCATGTAAATGTAGATATAGGAAACAAACAGGCATTTCTGGAAACAATTTGAATTGATATTGTCGGAATAACTGCATACCTACAAAGGATTTAGTGTACAGTTTGCAAATATTATAATTAAATCATAATGAGATACATGAGACACTATTTTTGTCATAGTTTCATCAAGCTGATTTTGTCAGCGCTGGTGCAGAACCCTTGACACATCACTTTGAGTGCTCATTAGGCAGCCAATGTCTTTAAATGTTCATGAATTTGATGAACTCATTCATCTGTGGGAGTGACATTTTATGCTAGGTAGGAAAAGAAGAGACATTTTATGCTAGGTAGAAAAACTTACTCAACCTTATTATTTCTTGCTTTGGGGATTCTGCCATACATTTGTTCCTTTACAATTATTTACAGCAACACTTATACAGTCAACCAAAGAATTGGAATACGAGTGACAAATGCTGTAACCCAACACTTCAAAGTATCTAGTGGATATTTTTGCTGCTGTCAGAATTAACTTTTATTATTTTTTATGGCTCTAATTATGTGCATATCATTTTATAGTAAATATTGAGTTTTAAAGTTTTAAAATTAATTTTTTATGACTTAAATATGTCAAATGGAGAAAAAAAGAATGCAATTTTTATAATTCAGTCTTTTTATCGGTTTAGGAATATATGGGGAGTTTTGGATAAACTAATTGAATTTTCACACTATCATACCTTGACACTATAAGCAAAGATAGGACAAGGCTTCCACTTTGGTCTGAGCAACAATTAATCCATGATCTTTCCAATTAACTGTAGCTTAATATTTCAGCTAAGCTTCTTAGTTTGGAACGAATCCAGTTGTTTTTTTAAATTTCCATTTCAATTCGTTTCCAAAATGGATAGCTACAATTTATCATTTCTGATAAACTGTTGTATGAGTTAAGAGTTTCTTATAGGTATAATCAATTTAGTTATTGAGTTACATATTTTAGTTACACCTTGAATAAATAACATTCAGAATTTTAGTCTGCCTTCACATCTTTCTAATTAATAATACTGTAGAAAACACAAGTTTACAGCATCATTCAATCAACTATTATTCACTCATCACTCATCAAAAACCACTATTAGTGTCAAATGAGAAATCCTATCCATTTTCTCATACTTTTTTCAGAGCAGAGGAAAGAATACCTGTCTCTTTTGTTAAGGTTGAAAAGTATTCATCTCCTTCTTGTTCTGAACTGCTAATCCTTTAATCAATATGAGAACTAACTCTCACATTGACTGATTTTAACTGAGCTAGGAAGCCAACCAGGCCTGCTTAATATTTGGATGGAGAACCCCACTCAGTTAATTGTAAGCTGACCTGTTAATTAAAAGCACCCTGAACAGCAACAGCAAAACATTTTAATTTTATTGCTAAGAAAACTACAATAGTACATCCAGGAAGTCATGATGAATTGACATTACTCAACTCAATTAAGCAAGTTAATAAAAACTAAAAGAAAACCTGGGATAACATTCTTTTTTTATTTTAGATGATTGATCAATTTCATATTTTTTTTAAAAATAGAAATATATATACACTATATATTTAATATGTATGTATGTATGTTTCAGAAACACTGAAAAAGAATATGGATTGAATCCATTCTCTGGAATGCCTTGAAGGAATGCAAATTGTCTCTTTCTCACAGTTTAGCACTGGTTTACAATTTTGGCATCCATCAAAAGCTTTCTCACTTATCTTGCATTTGAGAATCCATAACGGGAATAACAGTCTAATTATCTCCATTGTTAAATATTTATATTTTATTGTGTTTTTTGAAATTATGTTGTATTATATATACATGTGTATACATATATTTACAAATGCAGACACACAGACACACACACACACATATATATATATATATATATATATTTCAATAATGATGGTGAAAATGCGACTCCCGGGCATAATTATAAATGGAATGAATAAAGCGCGTTCACCAGGAGAGTTTAAAGTTAAAATACTTTAATTAAAGTATTTTACTATATTAAAAGGTTGCCAAGCTTTCGTTGGGAAAACTCCAACAACACACACACACACACACACACACACACACACACACACACACACACACACACATATATATATATATATATATATATATATATATATATATATATATATATATATATGGTACAAATAAAATACGAACACCAGGAGAGTATAAATATAAAAATATACTTTACTAAAAGCTGCCAAGCTTTCGTTTGGAAACTCCAAACATCATCAGGGCATATATATATATATTCTGTAATGTTTATTTTATACGTTACCTATAGATGCATTGTAGGATAGGATATACTTGAATACTTAAAAGTATATTGTTTCTTTTTGGTTGTGCATGTCAGGTGTGGATCAGATGATTCAATAATATGGTTTGAATGCCCATATACGCTCATCATCATCTTGAATGAGACCGATGACGGTTTTATCATCTTCAAACTTTAATATACTGACAGAGGGATCCTTTAAGATTCAGTCATTGGTATAGAGAGAAAAGAGCAATGGAGAGCTCTGGGTATATTCAGTGTGATTTTACTTAGCTTCACCTGCTGCTTTCTATCTGTTAGAAGGTTTATAATCCACCTACAAGTATGGTCAGGCAGAACTAGCTCAGTCAGTTTGAAGAGAAAAAAATGTTGGAATGATGGTACTGAATGCTGAACTGAAGTCTACAAAAAGGATTCTTGCAAAGGTCCTTAGGGATTCAAGATGTAAGATATCAAGATGTAAGATACAGTGCAATGCCATATTAACAGCATCATTTGCCAATCTGTTTGAACAGTTGGCAAATTGCAAGGGGTCTAGCAGCAGATCCGTTATGATTTTCAGATGAGCCAGCACTAACGTTTCAAAGGTTGTCATAACTACAGATGTCAGAGCAACTGCCTGCAGTCATTCATTCTTTTAGTTTCTTATTTGTATTTCTCTTTTAAATATTAAGACATCAGCCAGTTTCTTTTGTATATCTATTACAATATCCAGTTCCATGTCATTCTTGTAGCATATCATTTTAAAAACCATTTCCAAATCACTCTCAATCTTGACAGGTAGAATTTATTCCTCTTTAATATTTTTTTTCTTCCATCAATTGGGTCTGATTCTTGGAAACTGCATGGACAAATCCCTGCAGTTTTCCTGACAAGGTTTTTCAGAAATGTTTTGTCATTGCCTCCTTTCTAGAACTGAGAGAAAGTGACTGGTCAAGGTCACCCAACTGGCTTTGTGCCTTAAGGTAGGATTAAAACTCATGATCTCCTGGTTTCCAGCCTGATGCTTTAACCCGTGCCCCAAACTGGCTCTATCTATAGAAGCAAATACTCTTCAAATGAACTCTTAAAAATATCCTTCAATATATCCAATAAAACAAATATTTTGCTTCATTCTATAAGTTTACTTTGAGTGTTCTTCCCTTCTTTAGTACTCTCTAATTCCTTCCAGTA